AACATCGAAGCATTCTTATCCGGAGCGATATATTGATATCGCGATTACAAAAAAGTTTTCTCATTCTATTAAAAGTTGACCGCGCAATTTCAATGCGGCATCTTATTTCTTTTGTCTGATCAGTATCTTCTGTGATCCATGCTCCAAAGTATTTGTACGAAGATATTTGTTCAATTTCTGTATTATCTAGTACTAGCTTAACTTTGATGTTTTGTGCTTTTGTAAATACCATGAACTTGGTTTTCTTCAAATTTATTTTTAGTCCATAATCGTTGTAATTTATATTTAGTTGTTCAGCAGGGTGTTGCAGTTCTTCTAGTGTTCCTGCCAGAAGGACGGTGTCGTCAGCATATCTTATGTTATTAAGTGGCTCACCGTTTATTATAAAGCCCTCACTGATCTCGGCAAGCGCTAATTCTGAGTTTGCTTCACTGTATAAATTGAATAACAAGGGTGATAAAATACACCCTTGGCGGACCATACGGCGAATCTGGATATTCTTGATCAGTTCGTTTTCAACTTTCACTTTTGCTGTTTGATTACAATACAATAGAGGTTACAGATGATTCTAATGTCTCTACTGTCTATGTTTTTATTTAATAAAATTTCTTTAAGTCGATTATGCTGCACTCTGTCAAAGGCCTTCTCAAAATCAATAAAACAGGCATATACTTCCTAATTAATATCTAAGCATCTCTGCGAAAGAACACTTAATGCAAACAGTGCATCTCGTGTTCCCAGTCCTTTCCTAAATCTTATTTGTGTATTACTTATGCCTTCATCTAATTTCTTATGTATTCTATTGTGAATTACTTTTAAAGACAATTTCAAGACATGACTCATTAAGGCTATGGTGCGATGTTCATTGCACTCCTTTGCATTGGCTTTTTTGGGAAGCAGTATGAATGTTGATTGGAGCCATTCTTTAGGTATTATACCTGGTCTATATATCTATGTATGGTATTAAATAAATCCAAAAGAAGATCAATAGATTCAGTATTTACAATTTTAAGTAATTCGATAGGAACTTCATCAGGCCCGGGAGATTTACCACCTTTAGCTTGTTTCATTGAATATACAATTTCTTCTCGAATAATGTCTGGCCCAGTATCATCCTTAAATTCTTTTGGTGCTTCTATTCTCTCTTTGTCTTCAAAAAGTTGTGCTATATATTGTGTCCATCTCTGCATTTTTTGATTATATCTGTTATAAGTGCACCCCTTTCATCTCTTAGTTGCCTAGTTTGAAGTGTTTTTCTCATTCCTGTTAATTTTCTAATTTTTTTATGCATGTTAAAAAAGTCACATTTTATCTCAATTTCTTCTAGTTCTTGGCACTGCTCATGTAACATTCTCTCCTTAGCTTCTTTTATTCTCTTTTTTATTAATCGATCAGTTTTATTATATTTAATTGGATTTTTTGTTTTGAGTGATTTTCTTTCATTCATTAATAGTAGTATTTCTTCAGTCATCCAATCTTTATGTTTTCTATTCTTTGGTTTTAAGTTTTCATTTGCTGTTTTAATTATTGCTACTTTTATATTTTCCATTTCTGATCAATGTTATAGCTACTTTTATTCAGTTCTTGGGCATTACGTAGATTTTCAGTAAGAATTTTTACAGTTTGTTCCTTTGTTTGTGGTTCCCGTAATCTCTTAATATCAATTCTACTTTGTGTGGGTTTTCTAACCAGTTATAATTTGGTTCGTAATGTGACCACTATGGGGTTATGGTCTGAACCGATGTCTGCTCCAGGGTAAGTTTTGGCAAACAGTATAGAATTACGAAATCTTTGTCTAATAAGGACAAAGTCAATTTGATTTCGGATTATTCTATTCGTTGTATCACCAGGAGATTTCCATGTATACAATATTCTTTTTGGGAGCTTAAAAAGTGTGTTAGCTATTACAAATTCTTCCGTCTGGCAAAATTGTATCAAACGGTCACCACGTTCATTTCTATTTCCTAGACCATATTCCCCCACATATCCATCCACTCTTCCCTGGCCAACTTTGGCATTGAAGTCGCCCATTACTATTGTAGTGTGATGTATAGCATCACAGTATAGGAGTGTGTATAAAGTATAGTGTAGACCAACTATACTTTATACTAAAATCATATTTTATTGACCGTTACTTTCAAGTCAAAATTGAAGACAGCTACTCAAATAATCACATCATACAATCTGGCGTACCTCAGGGTAGCGTTTTGGGCCCATTTCTGTATTTGATATTTACAGCAGACGTTCCAATCAACAATGATACCTTCTTAGCTACATTTTCCGATAACACTGAATCTTTTCAGTTAATATCGACCCTAATGTAGCATCACAAAAATTACAAAATCATTTAGATCAATTACAAAACTGGCTTAAGCGATGAAAGATTAGTGTTAATGCTAGCAAATCAGTACAAATTACTTTGACAATAGGAAAATCCACATGTCCACATGTTTATATTATTAATACTCCATTCCTATAAAACCAGTTGTCAAATACTTGGGGATTGCACCTAAATGAAAAACTTACATGGACTATTTCACTCATCTTAAAATTGTCACATAATCTGACCAATCACAAACCAAAGACAGCTTGTATTATCGCGAAAACACTAACTGTTTGCGCGATATTTGATACCAAGCGCAAAGCAAAGTTTGACGTTTGTCAAAAAAATTATTGTAGCTGTATACGTCAAAATGAGTCGTTTCGGTGGTACTTCAATCGAAGTTATAAACCAAAACATTGAAGAAAATATACCAAGTAACACAATAAAATCTAAATCTTATATATGGAGACAATTTATGATGTTATGTGTGGATCGCAACTACAAATTAGATGCAGAAAATAACAACGAAAGACTAGCATTCATTCTAAAAGACTGGGCCTTCAACATGCGAAAAATTGATGGTAGTGATTACAAGGAGAGTGTTATTAAAACCATATGGAACACTACTGCAAAATTTGGTACAAGAAAAATATTTCTGTGAGTATCAGAGACATATTGATCCCTTCAAAGATATAACCTTCAACCGTACCCGATAAAAGGAAAATGAGTTCTGTCGCTATGACTTCGGATGAATACAAAATATGTGCTTACAATGGGACGAAGACACGCCAGAGGGACTCCAAAGAAGTTTTTTCATATAGCTGCCGTAGAATTAGCTTGGAGAGGTAACGAAGCAAGTTTTTCCATGTTACATTTTTTCAAGGAAGAGACTAACAACAAAGGCTGTTTAACAAACAGAATTGCATATAACTCGATATTCTCCAAAACCCGCCAAGGTGGTGATAAGAACTGTGCAGATAATAAATGGCTTACTCAAAATTTGAAGAATCCTGAAATGTGTTCTGTGAGATTATACCGGAAACTTATATCGAAAAGGGAAACTGTTACCAATGATAGACTTTTTCTGACTGTGAATGGAAAGTGAAATAAATATAATAATAGTAATTGGTACAAGAATTGTCCTATTGGTCTTAATACAATATCCAAATGGACAAAAATGTCTGCAGAAAAGATAGGATTAGACACAAAAAAGTGAAAATAACGAATCACTCTAATCGTGCCACTGCAGTTAGTCAGTTACTACAATCTGGCGTTAGTGTACAACAGGCTATGAAAATGATTGGACATGGAAGTTCGAACTCGATAAAACCGTATTTACATCTTAGTGCCGAACATCATCAGAACATAGTGAATACTTTTAGGAATACTCCAAGTATATCAAGTAATAATAGCAACAATATATTGTATCCACCTAATAACGGTCATACTATTCAAAATTTTTACAATTGCACCGTTTATAATAATTATAGTCGAGAATAATGTATTTTTTTCATGTACAAATTATTTATTGTTATGGGTAAAAAAATAATTATAACAAATTATTTATAGTTATAATAAATATTTCATGATTATGACTAATTGTGAATTATTAAAAAAAATGGGTAGATTTGGCTTACCTAGATCAAATGTATTATTATTAAATTACTTCCTCTCATTCTACTGAATTTTTGACCTATCACTTTGATCATAAAATAGTCTAATAAAATACCACTCGTGATTTAATTAAGCTTATAAGTCTGTCTTTTATTTCTAAACTCAACTGAGTTTGTTAAAGAAAACACCACTCGTCCTACAGACTCGTGGTGTTTTCAAGCAACTCAGTTTCGTTTAGAAGTAAATCGACAGACTTATCGCGAAAATTGAATCACTAGTGGTATTACTATTGACAACGCAAATTAAAACTAAACGAAAACAACTAGATCTTAATCTAAAAAATATGAACTGGCTATTTAACAAAAGGTCTCAGTTATCTCTTGAAAATAAACTGCTTCTATACAAAGCTATAATCATACCAGTTTGGACATATGGAATACAACTATGGGGCTGAAGTAAACCTTCAAATACGAAGATACTTCAAACATTTTATTCCAAAATACTCCGTATGATAAGTAAAGCTCAATCGTATGAATATAACATACACTTCACAATGATTTGGACACCCCACTACTTAAGGACGTAATAAACAATAATTTAATAAAATATAAAAATCGCACCACTGATCACAACAACGAACTGATAAATAACTTATTCACCCAATTACTCGCCGAAAGAAGATTGAAGAGGGTATGGCCAGAAGACCTACCTCAATAATACTTAGAAAACCGTCACTGGACGCTACCTAATTCACGTTAATTTACAGACTATTTACTCATTACTCTGCGTATAGAGTAGATTGTAAACATGCAATGTAACAATAAAAAAATTTATTCCTGAATAAATGAATGTCATTAGCATCGGTAGGTACAGTTGAAAAAATATTCAAAAATTTGGACACGTAATTGTATCTAAGAATTGAAATACTATCAATAAATTTTAGATGAAGCTATTAATTGCATTCATGTAAGTAGATGGTGTAACAAAACATTGTCCTGACCTGTATAATCAATGTAAATAACAAGTGCGAATTAAGTTATTATCTAAAAATATATGAAATGATGCAGTTGCGTTTTATTGCACACAAGTAGCAACAAGGCTATTAGAATAATGTATTTAACGATATTCTCGTGCTTAGCACTTTGTGTAGGTATAGTGTATTTATATTTAAAATGGAAGTTCACCTATTGGAAACGGGCAGGACTGGAATACTTAGAGCCCGATCTAATTTACGGTAACATTAAAGATATGGTTCAACAGAAGATATCTATGGGAGAACAGTTTCGTAATATATATAATCAATTTAAAGCGCAAGGACTAAAGCATGGTGGTATATACTTTTTCTTCTTTCCTACCTATGTTCCTGTTGACTTGGATATTATTAAAAATATTTTTATACGAGATTTTGAATATTTTGTGAATCATGGTGTGTACAAAAATGAAGAGTTTGATCCTCTTTCTGGACATCTGTTTGCTTTGGAAGATGATAAATGGAGAAAACTTAGAGCCAAATTGTCACCTACGTTTACAACTGGTAAGTTAAATTTTTTACTTATTAGTTACTTTAATCTACTTTTGTCTTTGTGTCTTTACAGCTTATTTGCTGCTGAATGGTGGTAGTAATTCAGCTAAAATTATAAATTGCTGCACAAAAATATTCTTATTATCTAGGTTTTATAATGTAAGGCGAACCGGGATAAGCCTTCTTTTTTTTTATTTACAATTAAGGCGCAATAACCCATGTGGTTGTTAGCGCCGCTCGGTATTATATTTTGTTGCATTTATGAATTCCTAATATATACTGATTTTGACATATATAGATTTTAACATACATAAATCTGAGTTATACTAAGTACCAGGTGGTCCAATAAGCCGATCTCTCGGCTATATATCAAAAAATATTCATGTTATAACTTTAGGAGAAAAAATTCCTTAGTAAAAGTAGCCAAGTGAAATTGCTGGAAATAACTTTCAAGTTTCTGGGTTAACCGCTAGGGGGCGTAACCTGTGAAGAAAAATTTGAAAACCAGTTTTTTGTGAAATATGCCCAATTATACTAAGTGTTAAATAAGTAAACTAGAAAGAAGCCAAAATTCCGCACAAAGTTGTTCAAGTACTTTTTTTTTATTTTTTTAAAATAAAGGGTGGGGGAGAGTGGGAAAGTATTTGAGGATAAATACCTGTAATTTTGGTTTGAATTAACCGATTGTAATGAAATTAGTGTCATTAGAAAGAGTGTGGATAATTTAATTTACATCTACTATAAAGCAATTGTATTTAGTTTTAATTGTCATAAGTAGAGGGTACTTTCGAAAAGAAAAAATTAAAATTTGTTTTTCTTTAAAAAATGTTTAATGGAAACACCTATTTATTGTAAATTTTAATGAAACTAGATTAAATTCGTAACAAAATGGCGTAAACCACATGTTAATAGCTTTTGTTAAACTCGAGATATCAATAAACTCGCATAATAAACGCATAAATATAAGTAATTATAGTATTGACTCACCCTGTATTATGAATTAAATTAAAAAATAAGTCAGTAGGTACTTTCAAATTCTTTTATAGCAGAAGAATCCTAATGTTGTTGTATTGTTATTTCATATTATTAAAAATAGTTTTTTCGAAACTATGTAAGTAGGCTACGACAATGAATTTGACCTATTCCTAGTTCCTATTGTTTATTTATTGACAGCAGTCAAAACATTGGTAAGAACTATTATAATTCGAATTAAAGATTGCACTTTTTTCAATATATATTAATATTGGTAATATTAGTCATTAATTATCAGTATTAATAATTCGTAATGAGTATATCAAATGCAGAATTGTATGGTATGATTCGAGTTTATTTCGAATGTCACCAAAATGCCGCTATTGCCTCACGTATATATTCTGTAAAACATCCTGATAGGAGACATTATGACAAAGAAGTATTTGAAACCAAAGCAAGACGATTAAGAGAAACTGGTAGTGTTCATCGTCATTGTTTTAAACGACGTTGTAGAGGTATGACCGAAGATAATTCAATCAATGTTGTTGCTGTAATTCAACAGAATTCACATATAAGTAGCCAGCAAATCTCTATAGAATTAAACATACCCAAAACTACTGTTATAAGAATTTTAAAACATTACAGGTTGGTTTTTCATATTGTAAAGTGAACGTTTAGGTCAGAAATTCCCTTTAAGCTTTATATTCAACTGTTATTTTAATGAAGAAAGGCAGCAAATATTTGATTTCACGCAAACAAATCCTATGTATCTCTTGATACGTATTTCGACCTAATAGGTCTCGTCAGAAGAGCTATTCATAGAAGTCCTCAACGTGAAAAATCAATATTTTCTGCCTTTTAAGAAGAAACAATAACATGGCTTTAATACGGACGCAGTAGCGACATCTAATTACAACAATCGTAAAATAGTTTCGAAACACAATTCAGATTTCTGCTTTATAATCTGAGCCTTCTAAAAATTGCAAGGCAAACAGACGTTGACAAAAGATGTTAAAAGAGACATGGGGAATCTAAAATTTGCATTCCACGACATGTCTTTTACAACTAAGCAGAAATCCTTAGCGAATTGTGCTTCTAGTACTCCCACAGAGTAAATCCGAATAAAATGAAGAAAGGCAGCGGATATTTGATTTCACGCAAACAAATCCTATGTATCTCTTGATACGTATTTCGACCTAATAGGTCTCGTCAGAAATTACCTATTAGGTCGAAATATGTATCAAGAGATACATAGGATTTGTTTGCGTGAAATCAAATATTTGCTGCCTTTCTTCATTTTATTCGGATTTACTCTGTGGGAGTACTAGAAGCACAATAAGGATTTCTGCTTAGTTGTAAAAGACATGTCGTGGAATGCAAATTTTAGATTCCCCATGTCTCTTTTAACATCTTTTATCAACGTCTGTTTGCGTTGCAATTTTTAGAAGGCTCAGATTATAAAGCAGAAATCTGAATTGTATTTCGAAACTATTTTGCGATTGTTGTTATTTTAATATTTCGATAAAAACGGCAATATGGCGTTTTTACCTTTTATCCGTTTCTTAAAAATACTAATGCACGATTTATCTTGTGAAACAATTGTGAATTTGTCAAGATTTTTGAGTTTTAGTAAATATAGTGGTTTCTTTTTCACCAATATTTGTTGTTCTGTTTTTTAAACTGCATCCTTATCATGTAGTTTTCCACCAAGCTTTACATGAGAGAGATTTTGATGCAAGGCTGAATTACTGCGATTATATGTTAGGTCTGATAGAAGAACAAACGCATATCATGTCAAAGATTTTGTGGACAGGCGAGGCTACGTTTAGTATTGTGGGTGGTGTTAATCTGCATAATATGCATTATTGGGCTGAAGAAAATCCGCACTGGATACATGAGGTGCCGGTTCAAGGTAGATGGAGTCTTAATGTTTTATGTGGTATAGTTGATGGAAAGATCTTAGGTCCATATTTCTTTGATAGAACTTTAAATGGCGAAATATATTTGGATTTTCTTTAAAATCAGTTGTTCGTTATATTGAAAGTAATTTCCTTACAAACAAGAATAGATATAATATTACAACGTGACGGGTGTCCTGCACACTTTTCCAGACGAGTTTGAGAATATTTGTATGCAAGTTATCCAAAGAAATGGATTGGAAAGGGAAGTATATTTTCATGGCCATCTAGATCTCCAGACTTAACATATCTGGACTTTTATCTGTGAAGAAAATTGAAGGACTTAGTGTACCAAACTCGACCAACCACGCGAGACGACATGAAACAGCGCATTATAAACGCAATAAATAGTATATTAACAGCTGAGTTTGAAGCAGCTGTTATGTCTACGCGCGGCAGATTACATCTTTGTGTGGAGAACGATGGAAAACAATTTGAACATTTAACTGGACAATAAGTTTTAATTATCGAGATATTTGTATGATCTTTCACATATTTAATTTAAAGTTATAATAAAGGGTAAGTCAATACTATACTTACTTACGTTTATGCGTTTTTATTTAACAACTATCGTTATTTGTGTGACCGTAATTATTTTTAATTTTAGGTACTGAACGTAAAATTATTCGGGCAGTGCCTATCTTGTGTTATTTGCCGATATTACAGTTTTCATTTTTTATATGTGCTATATATGGTGCAATATCTTCTAATTTATATCTATTATTTAATCTTAAATTTATAACTTTATTTAAATTTGGATTACCTGATCTTTTTTTTATTAAATTAGGTCAAAATTAGCGCTAGTTGTTTGGCATTTACCGTTTGTTACCTTATCATTTACCCTAATGTTGCTATTTTTTTTTTTAATTCTTTAAATTCCATTATCCTATCTTCACCAAATTCTATATAAAATTTACCACTATCTGGAGACTTCTGTGGAATTTCTTATTGAGACCGTGCAAGTTCGGAACAGCGACACCTGGTGTCGTAAATCAGCAAAATTTATTGCGCTTTCATGTTAGATCGAGGTTGCCGGATAACTGTAAAGGACGTAGCCCCAAAAAAGAATAAGAATAAAAAGTAAGATTGAGGTTATGTCGGTATGTTATTAAAAGGTAAACGTTGTATGTAGTGTAAATACAAATAAATATATTATTAAATTACAGCGTTACTGTTAATATGGATGCAATAATAAAAACTGGATTTGAGAAAGTAAATCATCAAATAACGTTTTAATTAAGCACTGAGTCAAATGGACACGCTTTAGTAGTCGCAAATGTCAAAAAAGAATGGAAGAATTATGTGGAAGAATTAAGAAAAATTAATTACCATAAATAATGCTAATGCATAAATGCATAAATTAGCAGGTTAAGCCCATGATATCATCATATTGGTTTGAAAAATTAATTCTTTCCCTGTAAACTTTTGGACAGCGAATATATCTTAAAGCGTCTTTAGAAAAACTTAAACTTGATGCATTTTTGTAAACTTCAAAACAATAAAATTTAAACATTAAACTTGATTTTTGGGTTAAAATGAACTCTAAGTGAGTGTTATGAAACTAAAATTTACACATTTAAGTGAACTTTTATTTATTATTTATTTCAAACTGACTAAAATCGGGCGCAAGAATAATGCATAATTTAGGTTATGTTACTTATGCTTTTTTATGATATAAATCCACTTTTCTCTTTGTAGTAATTTGTGCTTCGGAGTTGGAAACGAATAAAACTTAAATTGACATTTTCTTCAGTGACAGAAGGTGTAAATAAACAAACGAATATGAAATATGACAATTGACAATATGAATTTATGAAATCTATGAAATTTGCAGTAAAAAATGCAAGATTTCTCCGCTACTCGCGCACGATCGTTTCTCGTATCACATCCAAGTACTTGCACGTCGCCAATAGACCACTAGTTTAATGTGTCTTTAACACTACAAGTAATACCGTAAAAGTGAAGAAAAAACCTTGATATTTTAAAAAAATTGATATTTTTTTGTACGAGCTTCAAAATATCCGCCTTTAGATATGACGTTTATTTGACGGTTGCGCGGAGAACTTTGAAACGTTTATTTTAACTTTGACAGTTATATTGACACTAATTTCTTAATTATTTTTATATTTTTAGGAAAAATTAAAATGATGTTTCAAACACTTTGTTCTACATCTAAGGGATTATATGAAGTTTTAGAAGATCATGCTAAATTTAATGAAGTATTGGATATAAAAGACGTAGTAGCCAGATTTACAACTGATGTCATAGCATCAATTGGATTTGGATTAGAATGTAATTCTCTAAAAAATCCAAACGAAGAATTTAGGCATAAAGGACGCAAGTTATTTGATTTAAGTGCCATTGAACGTTTCAAAGAGATACTTACGTTTATATTACCGCTGAAACTTATAAATTTTCTTAATATAAAGCAATTTCCTAATGACGTTAACAACTTTTTTCTGAACGTAGTACAAAAAACTATAGACTATAGGGAAAAAAATATGATTAGCCGAAAGGACTTTATGCACTTGCTGCTGCAATTGAAAAAATCGGGAAAAGTTGCCGACGACAAGTTTATATTCAAGCAAGAGAGTGAAAAAGATGGCGCTAATTTTATAACTTTTAATGAACTGGCAGCGCAGTGTTTAATATTTTTTGTTGCTGGTTTTGAAACGTCATCAACTGCTGTAAGTTTTGCTTTGTTGGAGTTGGCTAGAAACCAAGATATTCAGAAAAAACTTAGGGATGAAATTAAAACTGTGATAAATAAGCACAATAATGAGTTGACTTACGATGCAATAATGGAAATGAAATATTTAGAACAAGTGATTTATGGTAAGTCTCTTTGTCTTTTTATATTTATGTAATATAGATATGGTGGAACAGTTTTTTCAGATAAATATTTTCTATATTAATAAAATTTTTAGTTTCCAATACAATCTCTTAGAGTAAGTGTCAAAACCTTTTTGTGAGCAAATCCTTCGCCTTGACAAAAAAAAATGTTTCTCTTATTTATATGAGATCTGATTGTATGTTCAGTTGCACTGCAAGTTAGGCAGAGTATTCTTTGTATACAGTTTGTCAGTTTTAATACTTACAATGGGCTATATCTTAAAAACAAAAGCTTATATCGAAAAATGCTTGAAACCGTTTCTAGGATAGTAAGGGGGAACTAAAATGACATGTAAGAGAACTCACCGCCATCAACCCCCTAGGCCCCACCCACCACAACGAAAAAAGTTTAAATTGCAAACCCCTACTTGTAATACATCATTAAAAAGACTATAAAAATGGTATCCAATGGTGTAAATAACAATTTTACAGGTAAAACAAGCATTGTGAAACTTTGGCTTAAATTGAGAACTTAATGAGGTTTTTGTTAAACTTCAAATTTGTTAAAAATGTCAAAATGTCAAAGTATATGTTCAGTGGGTTCCGTTTTTTTGTAAATAATACAGTCTATTTTTTAATTCTGCACGAACTTTGGCAAATGTTGTTCTAGTAATAGCGAGACATGATTGCGTAATTCTTTCTCGGAATTCCATAAGTGACGCAGGTTAACTTTTATAAACAACTGACTTGAGGTAACTCCATAGAAAAAAGTCAGGTGGCGGTAAGCCTAGGCACCTCGGTGGCCACTTAATAGTACCTTTCCTTCCAATCAATTTGTTTGGAAAATTAGTATTCAACCAGTGCCTAACTAGAGTTGCATGGTGAGAAGGTGCTTTATCTTGTTGGAAGTACAGCAAATTTTCGTCTAGACATAGGTTGCCTTGATCGTCTCTTTTGTTCTCTAATTTATGCACAATTAAAGGTCCGATGTTTTTTTTTTCATCATATCGAGATAAATGCCGCCGCTTAAACTGTCTGGTATAAATAAAGGGCCAATTATAGCATCGCCGAATATTCCTGCCCCAATATTTAGTTTTTTAGGATATTAAGTGTGACCTTCCCTAAATCGATGCGGGTTCGAATCACTCCAGTACCGATACTTTTGTTTATTTATACTATCATTAAGCGTAAAAGTTAATTCATCAGTAAAAACAAATATTTTTTAACATTCTCTTTTAATATTCTTTAACATTACACGCAGAATGCATTGGTTAAAGCATTAAGCTTTATTTCAAAATCACTTAACGAAAGAAATCACGTCATTGACATATTCCTAGACGTCCAGAAGGCATTCGATCAGGTCTGGCACACAGGCCTGATAAAAAAACTCCATCTTGCCGAATTGCCCACTCCTTTCGTTAAACTAATCAATTTCTATCTTTCTAATCGGACGATCAGGATCAAAATAGCTGATCACCTTTCCACACCATTTACTCCATAAGCTGAAATACCCCAGGGCTCAATACTTGTACCAGAATTATACACAGTTTACAACAGTATTATCCCCCGACCACAGTATAGATCGGAGTCCCTTTTACTTTACGCCGATCACACTGCCCTCCTCACGTCAAGATCGCACAGAGAACATAACGTCTGTATTCGAAAGATCACAAAACTACCTTGATAGAGTGATAGTTCAACTATTGCACTACCACTCTATCACCACATTTATTGCACTACTTCATTAGGTAGTGCAATAAATGAAGAGTGACCATAAATCCCTGCAAAACACAAGCAGTTTTACTTAAAACTTCTAAGTGTCGCGCTGTTAGGAGAGGACCTTATTTTCAGAAACTCAGTTTCCTACTTGGAAGTTCATTTCACTAAGACTCTTAACTAGAAAACCGACATTTAAGATACCCTAGATAGGGTGAGAACGAGGTTTAATATCCTAAGAGTGTTATCCAGTAAACTGGGCAGGACGTCATCTAAAACTTTAATGCACACCGACAAAACATTTATCAGACCCGTCATCGAATACAAGGCATGCGTCTATGCTTCTCTGAAGACCTACGAAATTAATGCCATAACGGCAACTAAAAGAAAAATCCTTAAATACTGCATGAGGTGGGGCAGGCTATATTCATCAGCCCACATACATACACTGGCTAATATTCCACTAATTAAGGACAGAATTCTATCACTTAGCAGAAAGTATGTCCTAAGAACCATTGCAGTCTCGAACAACAGATCCAAACAAATACTAAAGACTCCTTGCAATCGCCGAGGGCAAATACTCAATAGGCTTCCCAAAAAAAAGTTCCGTTTCCTCTAGCTAAACTTTTTCATAACACTGGACATGAACTGCTTGCTAAGTATTTTGACATTTTAGAATCTTCTTCTTCCTTCTAGTATGTAGGCTTTAAAGCCTGTTTTTTCAGACTAGACTCCTAAATTGTTTAAATTGTTGCATCATCTCATTTTAGAATTATTCCCAATTAAATATCGCAGTTAACCACTATATGCCAAAGACGATGATAAAGAGCCGTTCCTACTGTATGGCTGATAACCCCTGAGATACTTGGTCTGACATGCTTGGCAAAGTTCTCCCTAATTCCTTTTATGCGCTCCATACAAATCATCCACACACATACGCTTCTTCTGAACCACCCTGCTTCTTATTAGTCCACTACTTCTCCACCTACACAACAGTCATCTCGTTTACTACACTACCATTACTCCGAAAATAAAAAAAAAGAGGTACTCCCTTCCTGGAAAAGATGCAAGTCTAAACAAGGTTAAATCTCTGGCTCCTCCACATTCTCGGTTCAACACGAATTCTTTCAGTCCTGAGTTCACAAAACTCAATTCGTCAGTCTGGATCATCATCGCCTTGTTCTTGAGGAATATCTGTTTTGTACGGCAGAAATTTATGTAATTTCAACACTTTTCTAACCGATTTATGTGACAGTCCTGTCATTGCATATACTTGACGTGTTGATGCAGTAGGCTTTATTGCAAAATTTCCAAGAACCTCAATTTGGGATACTTCATTCACTAATATTGGGGCATCCCTTTTTTTATTTTGCACTGATCCCGTTTCTCTAAACATTTCAACTATATCGCGGTCGTACACGTGACTTACATTTTTGTCTGGATGTCTTTCATAAAATATTTGATTTGTTCGTAATAACACTGGTTGTGGGAGGCAAATATGAAAATGATCTCCACGCGTTCAGGTATACTGTAAACCATCGTGACAACTACAGCTAAGTGACAGTACCGATCGTTCAAATGATTAAAACTGATGACATTTATAATTCTTAAAAACACCATAAATTACTGAATCTGACAGAACTCAAAAATAGATGTTTTTAACTATTTTTGCAAATACGGCAAATTAATGATTATGATTTAGAAGGTGACGTGCGTATGTAGACTCTGTTTTCGTTTATTACTGAAAGCACTTTTATGTTCTGCTATTTATTTATTAAAATTTCTACCAGTTTGGCCGATGTAAGTTTTTGGGTAGTCGCCACATTTAAGTTTGTATACACCACTGTGTCAGTGCTTTTTATTTTGGCTAAATAGCATATTAGCAAAACTAGTCGAAATTTGGGATTTGAGCATTAAAATCTAAAAAGTATTTAAATTAAATAAAGACAGATAGGTGCGCAAACACATGTAGACTAAAATGTGCTACCAAAATAACTAGAGAAGATAAAGAACTTTTTTTCAATAAATTTTGGAAATTATAAGACCTTTATCGTTTTAGAAACTTGGACCACTACAGTATTAAAAAAACTGAAAAATGATAGATCATTAGAGGAAGAAAAACGTGAAAAACATAGATCACATAAACTATCACCACAACTTATAGATAAAGTAAAAAATTACATAATATAGTTTCCTGTAGTACCTTCTTATTATACGCGTAAAAGTGCGACGAGGGTGTACCTTGAAAAATGGTTATTATCCGTTCACAAATTGCTGATAGCACGAAATGTGCCTCAAAGTCATGAAACGGTCGTAAAATTTGTATCATTATAGGCGTTCCTGAGGTGTTTATTCATTAAAATTATTGCGATTTACATTTATTTTTCTTTCCAAAATGTTTATATCAATAGTAATAATGTTTTAATACTAATATATTACCAAAAAACAATTTAAACTTTCACGGCTAATGTTGGTTATTATATTATATTATTAAAAATAAGAATTTAACTATTAACAATTTTGTAAATAAGAATACCTTATCTCTTTGGATATTTCAATACTAATTTTCGCGTTTAATCACTTTACTAGAAAACCTGGAATTCATATCCGAAGGTACTATTCGTTGCAAGATAATTAGGATGGAATTCCCCAGATTTTTAATAATATAATGGGTATAGAGATGCCAAGTTTGGCCACGTGCCTCGTCTGTTCAGTTTATATTAGAAACTTAACTTGAAAGGGTGAAGTTATTACGAACGAAAACAATTTTTTTGTATAGTACATTTTTGATCACATGTAATTTACGGCTCGTCGGTGTTTCGGCGTCTACGGCAGTAATTAGCGTCTCTAATATTTCTTTTGTGAATTATATGCAGTGCGTAAGTGATTTTTTATTCCATATACCTACAAACATATACGTACCTTTCACTCGTGCTCGTTTCGTTTGTCCTGAATGTTCACGATGCTCTGGTTTCTCAGAATCCCACAAACACTGTTCGCAACATAGTCGAAAGTTGTGCCAACATAACTGGCGTAGGGGAGTCAACTATATATAAGTTTCTATCAGAAAAAAAAACACGGTATAGCTAACCCAAACACAAACGAACACTTAAAGAGAGGGAAAAAGTTTATTGAAATTGATGAATTTGCCAAAAGTGGTATTCGAAGGAAAATTCATGGATTTTTTTTTTTCAAAAAAGAAATACCAAACCTAAATAAAATTTTACAAGAAGTTAGAGACGATGCGGATTTGCCTCATATCGGACGAACTAAATTGTGGTAGGTTT